TGGGTTGTTGGATTTTTTTCTACAACTTCCATTTTAGGGCACAAGTGGATTAATTGGTAGAAACCGAGGTTTTACGGTTCAAAATAAGGATAAGTGGTATAATATAGTCGGGGGATATTAGACTAAGGTACGAAAACTTGTTCAGTGAGAATCGGTCGGTTTTGGAGAGTTTGGTGAAAGTTGGACAGTGAGGGTTTGAAGTTCGCAGACATTCGCTAGCGTATTCGCTGAGCGAGCTGGTAGCGAACGTTCGCTAAGCGAGCCAGTAGCGAACAGTCCCAGACTTGGTCATAATGCATTTGGTGGCATTCGCTGGTAGCGAATGGAGTAGAGAAGGTTCGTTAGGCATTCGTTGAGCGAGCGAGGTAGCGAACGAAGTCAGTAGCTTCTGTTTGCCTTCGCGAGCTTGTTCGCTGGGCGAACAGGTAGCGAATACTCGCTAGGCACTCGTTGAGCGAGCAGGGTAGCGAGCATGACAAATTATGTTTTTTTTAGTGTTTCCATCCGAGGTCGGATTCCCGATTCGATTATGATTATCCCTTTACTTGGAGGCATCGATTATGCTGAGATATATTATACCGTGGGTAGCCTTATGGCGTGAATCCTAGATTGTTGAATTCAATTGAATTGTGGTCTTTTGACAAATGTAATACATTGTTTAAGTTGATTAACATGTATGAAGGATGCATGAGAACATATTGTCGATATGTGTGCATTGTTTGATTAATGGAATGATGATATTGATTTTGTGAATGCATATTGTTTGTATGTGATTGCATGAAGAATGCATGAGAACATATTGTAGATATGTGTGCATTGCTTGATAATATATTGATGATGTATGTGAATATGTTGTGTGTGCAATCATTGTCATAATTCTTGAACAAATGAATTATTTGAATGCATGAGATTAAGATGTCGGTCTTAAGTGCATTTGATTGTTGATTGCATATGCATCATTTAGTCAAGAGGCAATGCTTGCTAGTTTTGTGGAGACTAGTGACTTGTCCCAAGCCTAGAAGAGTGGGTTTGAAAGCTTAGAGGACGGGCTTTTGTTGGTTATCGGTCTAGAAGAGTGGACCCGGTTTAATATAAAAACCGAAAAAAGATAACAAGTGTTGGTACCTCATGGCATGAGTTTGCATTGAGTTGTATTGAGTCACATAGCATGAATGTCATTGTTACATAAAATATGCTTGTGTGTGGAAATTGTGGACTATGTATAAGTGCAAATGAATCATGGTTTGTGAATGTACACGTGCGTGTATACATGTTGTGATTTCCTAATGAGCTATATTGAATTGTGGTGAGAAAAAAATATGGAGTATGTATATTATATGTTGTGTAAGTATATATAATTATATGCATTGATTATTATGATAATATTTCTCACCCTTCTGCAGTTTTATAATGCTTTATGAGGCATTGCAGATTAGGTTGCTGGAGGTTTCTTTTGGTGAAGTATAGCTTCATTCTTTTGAGTCGGTTGCTCTGATATGTAACATCGGGTAGCTAGGCTTGTATAGCATTCTTTTGTGATACATTGTATGTTTATCATCTTATGATGTTTTGTAATACATGATTGGTATTATGAACCAAACTTTATGATGTGTATTTCTATGATAACATGTCTTAAGTAATTCAATGTTCTAGTTTTAAAATAGAGGAACTTAGTCCTTACACCCACATCTCAATATTTTAATTTAAGCGGAAGACTAGAACATTGAATTACTTAAGACATGTTATCATAGAAATACACATCATAAAGTTTGGTTCATAATACCAATCATGTATTACAAAACATCATAAGATGATAAACATACAATGTATCACAAAAGAATGCTATACAAGCCTAGCTACCCGATGTTACATATCAGAGCAACCGACTCAAAAGAATGAAGCTATACTTCACCAAAAGAAACCTCCAGCAACCTAATCTGCAATGCCTCATAAAGCATTATAAAACTGCAGAAGGGTGAGAAATATTATCATAATAATCAATGCATATAATTATATATACTTACACAACATATAATATACATACTCCATATTTTTTTCTCACCACAATTCAATATAGCTCATTAGGAAATCACAACATGTATACACGCACGTGTACATTCACAAACCATGATTCATTTGCACTTATACATAGTCCACAATTTCCACACACAAGCATATTTTATGTAACAATGACATTCATGCTATGTGACTCAATACAACTCAATGCAAACTCATGCCATGAGGTACCAACACTTGTTATCTTTTTTCGGTTTTTACATTAAACTGGGTCCACTCTTCTAGACCGATAACCAACAAAAGCCCGTCATCTAAGCTTTCAAACCCACTCTTCTAGGCTTGGGACAAGTTACTAGTCTCCACGAAACTAGCAAGCATTGCCTCTTGACTAAATGATGCATATGCAATCAACAATCAAATGCACTTAAGACCGACATCTTAATCTCATGCATTCAAATAATTCATTTGTTCAAGAATTATGACAATGATTGCACACACAACATATTCACATACATCATCAATATATTATCAAGCAATGCACACATATCAATTACCTACAAATAAGATAGGCAGTATGTCTATTTTGGTTTAAAGATAATAACTCATTTTCATTGGTATTACCAATTGAAAACTACATTTTTGTTTACTCAACACCATTTTTTTGTTAACATACAATTATAATAATGGATGTATGCGAAAGAATAAAAATAAAATGATGAAAGGATAGTCAAATTTAAAGTCACACACCCTCTTAGTTTTTGTTTCCATGTTCTTTCTCTTACACTAATAACTTCTCTCATACATCACACATACCTTTTTTTTTGTTTTGTATTTATTTTTCAAAAATATGATCTTCTATATTCATAGAGATTCATTTCCACATTAAAAAAATCTTTTATATAACCACTAATCAATTCACTATGCTACACTTTCTTCACCTATTAAAAATTAAATGGAAAAGCAAGAGAACCATCCATTTCAATTTGGGTTGGAATTGTAAATTGAAATAGCAACCGTCAAAAATTAATGATATTTAGAAAAATTAATGATGATTAATGAATTAAGCATCCTACATGGATGATCCAATGATATTAATATTTCATTCATTTAAATTAATAGGCAAATTTAAATTTAGATTCCTTTGAATTTTAATGAAAATCTCTCCTAATAAATAATTAATAGGAAAATTTATTTCTTTCTCTTTATTGTTCTTAAAACATATAATAGGCAAAAAAAACTATGCTATTTGAAATAGTTATCTTTGAAATTCAAAATTACCTCTTTTGAGGATGAAATGCTAGTGTAATAAAACCCGAAATATAAGCATGAATTAATTTCAATCTTGATGTTGCTCTCGAATACAAAAACAACACAGAAACAAATATTGAAACTTCCATAGGACTTCTAATACGAACAATGACAAAGAAGTAAATTATTAACCACTCACAAACTATAAATTATGAAGAATCATTGGATGAAACATTAAATAAACATGTTTTTTTACTCTATAAATTTGTAGTTATGTTATGCATCCCACCTTGGGAGGTTTATATATAAAAATAAAAATAAAAAACTAACTCTAGGAGTTATGGAGTTACCACAATTCAAAATAACTACCATCATTTAATAAAAACTTCATTTTTTATTTGTATTTTTGTTTTTAAAATTAACTAAAATTAAATTTTAAAGGATAAAATAGAAATAAAAATAGGTCAGTCTAAAATTCCAATTCCCTAGATAAATTATTTAATTTTAATTTAATTATAAACTATTTATAAAATAATTAAAGATAACGATATGAAAAATAATAAATTGTTGGCGGTTAATAAACCTTTGTGTAACCGCCGTTGTGAGGAAAAAAATTAAAATTTAAAATAAAAATTGAAAAGGGTAAATTTAGAAAGAAAAAAAGCTACACCAAAACAATCTATTGCCTTTATATATTGTTATAGATTCACTGCCCTTTAGCAACAACCTTATAAAAGTCTGTCTTCATTTTGATGAATACTTTTTCATAAGTAGTTGTCATTAGGTTTACCTTTGGCTTCTTTGATGGAAGTGTTGAAGAAATATTTGGCTTTGATGCATTTATGAATTAAAGTATGTTTGTTGATGGTGAGCCTCCAAATTTGTTTAGCCAAAAAGGGCATCATTAAAAATATTTATATTTTGAAAACCAAGTCATCCTATGTTTTTGCTAAAGCAAAACATGTTCCAACTCGTCCATCATATATTCCTTTCATCTTTCTTAACTCCCCTGCAATAATTGCGGACTAATCTATCCATGTTATCACATAGGTTTTCTTAAAAATTGAAAGAACTTATAGCATAGGCAAGAATAATTTAACCGAATCTTTTAAAATATATCTTGATAATTTTAATTATATCTAATTTATTTGGATATGTATTAAAATTTGAGGCTTTAAGTATAGAGATTATGATTACCGAATTTTTTTAAATGATATTGTCAAATGAATGACATGTTTATTTAAGCGACCTTGTAACTTCCATCAAATCTTAGTTTACAATATGTAATCAATATCTTAAATATAATTTAAAGATATATTCAAAATGAATTTAAAAATAATCTGATATGTCCTAAATGAATTATTAAAATAATAGTATTTAAAAATAATAATATTTCTTAAAAAATATAAAATTTTTGAAAAAATAAATTAAAAATAGTTTAACCGAGTCTTTTAAAATATATTTTGACAATTTGAACTGATCTATTGAAACCTGAGGCTTAAGAATAGGGCTTATCAAAGAGATTTAATTAAATCTTTTCAGAAACATAAAGATTGATTTCAAAGTGATACTTTCTCTTGAAATCTGAGACTTAAGAATAGCAAGTAGAAAACCCTATAGTCAAGCGACACTTTCTGTTTTCTTTATAGGGTTCAATTTCAGTCTTCACAATCTCACTCTCCACCGCTTACACACAGCACTTTCTTGCTTCTCTGAAACCCTTCTATTGCATCATCATGGTGAAATCTTGTTCACCTCCTTCGTTTCATAAACACAGAAACAACAACAAGGATAAACAACAACGGTCTTTTGAATATGATGAGAAACCACATGTTTACAAATGTGAGTTTTGTGACAAAGTATTCACCACAGGCCAAGCACTTGGGGGTCACAAGACTGTTCATCGCTCCAAGAAACAACAAATACATGATGATGATGACAAGTGTCACAAAACTATCAAGATCACTTTCGTTTTATCTTCTTCTCCAAGTTATGGTAATAATCATGATGTCAAACAGAAAAGACATTCATGGACTAGGGTTTTCAAGAGTACTGTTCATCATCCATCTACTGCATCGGAACCTTGTGAACAACAAGAGTTACCGGCTGTTGACTTGTTAAGTCTGCTGCCACCAAGATCTTACAATACCAAGAAAAGGAGCAGGAGATATCTTATTCCTTATGGACTTTCTAATAATACTCCTCCAATACCATTGTTGGATATGTCTCGCGAATCGGTTGTGAATCTTGATGCGAATCATCCTGAGTATAAGAGGATGAAACTTTCAAGCAATGGGAATGATAATGTGCTGCTAACAAGTGTCTGTAATGATGAAACAGTGGCGTCAAGAGTTGTTCTAAACGAGCGCCCGACTAATTATGTTGAAACAGAAGTGGGGCCAAGAGTTGTTCGGGACTTTGATTTGAATGAGCTCCCAAGTAATGATGTTGCTGATTAAATCATTCGCCATGAACACTACAAGAAATATTACATTTTCCCAATGTGTCTAAAAAAGTTAATGGAAAAGTTGAGATATTTTTTATTTATAGTTTTGCGACGTGCTTTGCATGTGGGAAACTTCCCACATGTTACACACGTGGGAAATAAAAGGACTTTTTGAATTTTCAATTCCCACGTGTTTTACATGCCACAACTGAATTTTTTAAAATTTCAAACTTCCCTCCTTCTTAAAATTCCAATTTTTTGTTGAAGATTTTAGGTCTCAATAATTTATTATTTAAATGGTTTAGTGACGTGCAAATCAGTTGGCAGCGTGTTTTTTTTCCACCTGATTAGCACGTCACTAAATCACTTGCTAAAATAGACTTTTTATTGTAGTGGAATTATATGCTTCTCTTTCCATTTGAAAGAGAATGAGTGGTATTACGATTGTTATTTTTTGATGTATATGTTGAAAAAGAATGAATTGTATTCTACTGTCATGTAATTTGATGCATGACAAGATATATAAGTTTTAGATTTGATATGATTATAAGTTTTCACCTCTTGATTGTATAAAACTATAAACAGATTATTTACTACCTTGTGCTATTCTTAATTGTTTGATTATTTGTGGGAATCTCTTTCCTTTGATTATTGAAAGAGATTTAAGTTGAGTGGTTTTGATGAGTAATAGTTAATTATAATTTTAAAATCAATTGCCTCCGATGATCCAGTCTAATTAGGTATATTAATTGCAGGTAGCATTAGATGGTGCTATTAGATGGTGCTATAGTTACATGATGTGAAGACATTCCTATATATATATATATATATATATATATATATATATATATATATATATATATATATATATATATATATATATATATATATATATATATATATATATATATATATATATATATATATGATTGTTTTGTAAGTTTAAATATTCAACTCACCAATCCTTCCATGACAAAGCCAAAACAAAGTTAGCATTCTCTCAAATAATTGATTGTGTCATGTTCTCATATAAAGCTTCTGCTGAAAGAGCATCATCAAATTTTGCAGATTTACTGAGCCGGGAACGTTGTGAGCTACCACCAATTTGCAACGATAAGACTTAATAATATTTATCAGTTACATTCCTTGTGACGGTCACGACATTGTTGTTAATTAAGGCCTTGAATTGGTTGGCTCAGAAGAGAGCCGAGTATTCTGAGACCACCATTCCTAGGGTGACCATGAGTCTCATTTGAGAGCTCACACCAGAAATTTGTGACTAATTTGGTTGTCCAAAGTCCTGCTTCAAGTCATAGGTATAAAGTTTTGAATATGTTTGGTAATAATTCAATATGACCATCAACATGTCAATAACAGCGGATATGAGACATTTGGGCAAATTAAGATTTTGAAAACTTCATGGTAAAAAACATGCTTTCAAAAAAAGGTTTGTGAATCACGACCATAATATTCAAGTCGCACAAACAAGGTTTATCGATGTTTCATTGAAATTCTCTAGGTTATTAGAAAGACTAATTAAGTTTCTGCGTAATATACAGACAATGTTGATTATTTTAACCTACCAGCTAGTATTGAATGAATGAAAGGATGAAACTCCATGCTTGTCACAGTTGATCCCTGATGTAACTTACAAACAACGGTTCTTGGAAGTTAATCGAACAACGGATTCACTGGTTTAGGTTCAAAGGTATATGGGGCCTGCACAGGTTCAGGTACTTCTTCAACAGCTTGTGAAAACAGAATCGGTTTCATTTCTTGATCAAGGTCGTTACTTTGATGATCCATCGGCTCAATAGTATTCGGTGTTTCTGAATGCATCGGAATGGAGACTGCAAGAAATTGACAATAGAAAGATTATAATAGTTCTTCATCTACTACAGTCATTATATCAGTGTAAAACCATTTTACATTGACACGGGGCATCTGTATTAAACTTTATGCGACAAAAAACCGATGAAGATATACCTTGAGTTGAAGGACCAGGCAATAAGGAAGCTTTGATCTCAGCTGGTGATTGAGAAAACGGCAAAGGATTTGCATTCAGCGGCAATGTTGTCACAACATTAGGAGTAGGAACTACAATGGTAGGCGAAGGATTTGCATTCAGCGGCAATGTTGCAACAGCATTAGGAGTAGGAACCGCAACGGTAGGCGAAAGTGAAATGCAACAAAATTAAGTACTAATAAGTTGAAATGCAACAAGCAAATAACAGTTTTATCAATGAACATGAAAATATCTTAATATTCTGTTTTTTCAATGAACAGTTTTATCAACAAACAGTTTTATCAATGTAGTGGTTATGAAATGCCAATAATATCTTAATATTCTGTTCTTTTTCTTATCGTTCTGTTATATTTTATTCTGTTGATAAAGTTTATCTCCTATTTTAGAGTATCTAACTTTTCTATTTAATAAACATCTTGACCATCTTTGGAGTTCAGCCAAGTCAACCTTTCTTCAATCCTCTACAGTGAACAGGCAATATTTTCTCAGATAAATTCAGATATGCAGAGCTCCCAAAACATTGAAGAAACCTAAATGTAAAATTTTATGCACTGGGGGTTTTCTTATTCTCCACAAATCATCCCCATAAAATAACACCCACATACAATTTCTTGTCTGCATCAATAAGTCAATCGAAGGAAAAAAGGAACAAAAAATAGGTAAATTTCAGTGTAAATGTTTAACTCACACCTTAAGCAAACAGGCTTGAACAGAGTTCTCTACATCTTTATTGACCAATGGATTAATTAATCGGTTGTCAGGAGCTTGTTTGACTTCTTCTGCCCCTGCAAGTCGCTGCATGTTTTATGGATAAAGAAAAGTGGTGAATCATCATCAATGTGTATGTTAGGAACCCAATATATGTTCTATTGCATTGTAATGACACTACATGGTTGCTGTTATTATACTATGTGCTAATGTGCGGAGACAGAGATTAAGAGGGATAAAGAGCAAAGTTAGTTCTCACTCTCATATGCATTGGTCCTTTATCTGATGGCTGCAGAATGTAATAACAATGATAAGGAGCCTCTGTCATTGTTTCTAAATCACAATTTGAAGAGCATATCAAACCCTGGTCCATTGAATGTAGAACACTAGAAAGGCCTTGAAAAACTGTCAAATCATAGCCATGTTAGGAAAAATGATAAACTTTGAAGAATTTGACCAACAAAAATTGAACAACAACAATTCAGGACTAATGACAATGACGTGGGTGATAGAACTTCAAAGCAGAAGGATCCTACTACTCACGTTGAGCATTCATGTCTGACTGATCAGCGTCATCGGAATTGGTTTCGATCACGTGATAAGAAGATGCAGTCACGACAAATGAAGCCCCCAATATTAGACCTGCATTAAAACTCAAAAATCAGAAAACCAATTTTTTGTAGAAAACCAGAGAGGTTAAGAACAAGACGTTGGGTGCACCAATATTGCTTAATCAGTCTCAGTAGCCCATCATAAAGACAGTAATTAAAAATCGTTCTGGCCGCCATTGAAGTAAATTTATAACATTGTTCAGTCTCTGCTACCGAAAATCACAACCTGAGGTTCAATATTGGCTTCTACAAGAGATTGATTCTGACAACCAAGTGCACTTCTCAATTTAGCAGATTCTTCAAACTTTTTATCAACAAATTGTGTATGTGGTGTCTGAACATCACAATTCGGGTGAAGTCCAACAACCACTATGCTCTCAAACAGTTACGACGACTTCTTAAAAGACCTATGACCCTGTGAAACCAATAAAAGCGGGTGTATGAAAACAGTAAAGATACGACTCGCATACTGATAAATAAGGAACATATAAATCTTGCAAATTATGCATCATACCATGTACGCTAAGCTATGATTCATCCAGTAAAAGGTACTCACCTCATTTATGTCCTCCTTCAATCTTTGGTGTAAGCTAAGCTATGACAAATTAATTTGATAAACTTATGGAGGACCAATTGATAAACTAAACAGAATACCATGTGCCTGGCGCCTTTAAGTACGGCTTCAGACGTTCGAAAAGTTTCACATGTATATATTGCAGCCATCTCTTCTGGAGATTCCTCTGGATCTTCTTCACAGGCAATTCCCTAGTATACAATAAATTCTCCAGTTATCTATCAATCAAAAAACAAATGGAATTATGAAAACATTAAAGCACGGGCCAACAAAAGCAAAAATTTACCACTTTGTTAAGAGTAACTAGAGAACTAAATTTCTCAGGATTTCCAATTTTCCTAGCAAGTGAAGACAATCCTGCCTTTCTGCAATCGGAATAGTATGTCTTCATCAGAGGCCTTTTATAACCACTACTTAAGAACTCATCAGCTGGTGGAAAATACAAAGTAAACTTCATATCAACATATTTCTTTATATGATACAATTCCAAGAACCTAACAATATCCTCTCTATTTACTGAATCACCTAGTCCACAGGATTTGGCCTCACTGAACAAAGGATTTATGTTGGATTCAAGTTGGCATAGTATCCAAGAACTTTCTTCTTCAATACTTGTTCTGTCAACTAGAATAGATCCTACAATGTCCTCAATCATAAAGAAAGATTAAATTGAAAACGGCATCATTGCATTTCCGTATAAAGAGCATTATTACATTTTTCACTTACACTTCAAAATGTTCAAAAATCAACACATGCAATAATAACTACACAACAAAAAATTGAAAACAATCACTAAATGAACTCTTTCACTGAAGCTGATTGAACCTAAGTTCATGGAGTTACCGTCATCATCGTCAACAGTGGAAGCTAATTTTCGTTTCCCTTTCCTTTGGATTTTCTCTGAAAAACAGAAACACGAATCAGAATCATAGAAATGAAATTAGTATAAAAAAATCGACGATAATTGTAATGTGCGTAGCTAGTGAAATGCAATGTAGAGATTTTTCACCTTGTTCATCTTCTTCGGGAGTGGATTTTTTTTCTTACTCTTGCCATCGAAAATGAAAAACCCTAGCTCTTGAAGAAGAGTTTCAGAAGCTATGCAGAGGGTGAAATGAAAATGAAATTGGTGCTTATGGAAATGAAGAGATTCGTGTTTTTGAGTAGAAGATAGGTATGGGTTTGGGAGAAGCTCTGAAGAAAGGATTAGGGTTACATATGGGATGAAGAACAAAATGTTAGGGTTAGAATCAATTTGGGATGAATGTTTCTTCTCTCTCTGTGAGTTAGAATCAATTTGGGAGGGAACTGAAAATTTTACGCAGGTTTGGGAGGGACATTGAAAAGGATACACATATGAGAACGGTCGGTAGTAAATAATATTTTATTAAAATAATTAAAAATTATATAAGAACGGTTCTGCTCCGTTCTAATAGGAGTCGTTCTCATTCTCCTCTATAAGGACGGTTATGCGCCGTTGTATATAATTTTCAAAAAATTATATAAGCTACCGCAACAAATTATATAATTAGTTGCCTATTACTTTCTAAGAGAACAATTTTTTTACTTCTTGAAAATTAAGCGTTGCTATAGAGTAAAAATGTTGTAGTGATGATACATCACATGTACAAGTTTTTACAAATGTAACCAAATAAATTAACTTCTGATACATAATTAAACATGATATATAATAATTATTTAATATTAATATCATAATTAAATTAAATTATTTAAAATAATATGATATATAATATTCTTATAATAATTTTCATTTATCTATATTTATTAAATTAATATAATAAGTTTTTAATATTTAAAATTATTTTTTTAATTAATTAAACATAACATAAATATGAAAAATAAAAAATAAAAACGACTCCACTTGAGGGGACGAGGACCTACACTAAAATAGCACCAGCATAAGCTCGCCACTTGAGTAGACGAGCATATAGTGAAAATGGAACATCCTGATGAATTTTTTTCAAACTAAAATATTATAATATATAGTATTTCAAACTAGGATAATCCAGTAAAAAAAAATCAATAATTGCTGACTAATATATTCATTTCATCACATAGGTTTTTAGGTGAATTTGAAACACTCTTGACATAGGTTGGAATAGTTTCAACAATGACTTTAGTTAAAATATGTTCAAAATAAATAAATAATTTGATATATCGAAAATGAATTTAAAAATAATCTGATATGTCCTAAATGAATTATTAAAATAATAGTATTTAAAAATAATAATATTTCATAAAAAATATAAATTTTTTGAAAAAATAAATTAAAAATAGTTTAACCGAATCTTTTAAAATATATTTTGACAATTTGAACTGATCTATTGAAATCTGAGGCTTAAGAATAGGGCTTATGAAAGAGATTTAATTAAATGTTTCCGGAAACATAGAGATTGATTTCAAAGTGATACTTTCTCTTGAAATCTGAGGCGTAAGAATAGCAAGTAGAAAACCCTATAGTCAAGCGACACTTTCTGTTTTCTTTATATACTTCTATTTCAGTCTTCACAATCTCACTCTCCACCGATTACACACAACACTTTCTTGTTTCTCTCAAATCAGTTGCGAATCTTAATTTGAATCATCACATATGGGTCCCCCTATCCACGCTGCGCGCCTTTGACATTTATGAGGACTCACTGGCTCCTTCTCTCGTGTACATCACCGCTTATGATAATTCGATAAGGCCAGCAAGAGACAGGCTGATTATCGATGTCCAAATAGGCCTGAAAAACGCCAAACCTTTTGGTCCACCTTCCATGTCATAAATATCTTCACTTCATTCAACTTACTACTTAGAAAGCCTTGGTTGCGTGAGGCCAGATCCTCCACATACCATCAATGTTTAAACTTTCCGTTCTGAGGTGAGTATAAGAGGATGAAACTTTCAAGCAATGGGAATGATACTAAGATGATGCAGAAACCATTTGTGCCGCTAACAAGTGATGTTATTCATGAAACAGTGGTGAAGGAAAAGGGTGAAACAGCGTGTCAAGAGTTGTTAGGAACTTTGATTTGAATAAGCTTCCGGCGAATGATGTTGAAAAAGAATTGGGGCCAAGAGTTGTTCATAACTTTGATTTGAATGAGCTCCCAACTAATGACGTTGTTGATGAAATCATTTATTCTACTATGATGTAATTTGATGATATGCTACATATAAGTTTTCATTTATTATATATGCTATTGTTACTTCTGTTCCAACCAAACAAGCTCATTATTCAAAAGGTTTTTACGAAAGCAAGATCTAGCGCGAGAATAAAATGGAAAAATTACCTAATAAAAAGCAAGATGTTGCGTGGAAGTTTGAGCGAAAGTAAAGAATTGAAGCTCACTTAACTCTAATAAATAAAGCTAGGAGATATACTTGCCATGGTTATAATTAAAGAATCTATATTAACCTATTTCTATATGTAACACCATAGTTATTACTTGCCTAGAATAATAGTTATATAATTAACTTCTGATACAAGTTTTTACAAATGTAACCAAATAAATTAACTTCTGATACATAATTAAATATGATATATAATAATTATTTAATATTAATATCATAATTAAATTAAATTATTTAAAATAATATGATATATAATATTCTTATAATAATTTTAATTTATCTATATTTATTAAATTAATATAATAAATTTTTAATATTTAAAATTATTTTTTTAATTAATCAACTACCTACCCATTACAATTAAATGTCACCAATTTTACTATTTTACCTTTCAAATGATTTTTACTTAACACTACACCATACCCTTTTTAATAATTTATTAAATACAACAACTTTGACCAATAGTATGGTCCAATTTTACCAAGTGGCATTTCCCTCACTTTCTCCCTCTTTCCAATTTTCACTCGTAACTTTTTCCCCTAAAAAAACCCTAAACTGACTCCCCCCCTTCTCCCTCGTCTCCCTTATGCTTCATTTCACCATTTTCTCTCTTCTCTCTATTTTCTCTGCAAACCCTAGCGCAGCCGCGACTTTCACCATCTTCTTCAAGAGTTCAGCGGTAAAAGGAGTTCTGACGGCGTCCCTCACCTTCAACCATTAATTACTGCATGGTATCTTCTTTTTCTTCATTTTAGTTGCTTATGAATATTTTTGTTTCTGTAACCAATGTGATTGATGTTCATGGTCATGTTCATTTTAGTTGCTTATGAATATTAGCAAAGTTTTTTGGTGTGAAGATGTTCATGGTCAGGGATCCTAATATGAGTTTCGATTCTGCATCAAACTACCTCCTCCATCTTGCCTTCAACGATAATGACATCGGCATCACCGCAACGCAATGTTCAGCTACCGATTAACAGCTCACACTTTTTGATAACATTTCGAACCGAGAG